GATAGCAATACTATACATAAAAATGTTTACAAAATGGTTCATACTTGGAGTGGAGTAAGTCTCACCTGTCTGTGGTAATGAAACTCCGATTGGGAGTGGCAATGGAAGAAGCCTCAGAAATCACGGTTGTTAAATCATCCTTTGGTAGATTCTTTTTTATCTGGATACTATTAACACTCACGCTCTGCAAAATAAATGATGAAACTACAGAAAAATACTAAATGCTAGTTAATATTTATCATTAAAAAGTTTACAAAAAATTCTTATGAATAAATTTTTATCATCATTATTCTTAGTAAGTATAAACACAGTTGTCCATACTTAAAGCTCATTTTCTTTTTTAAATTATTAACAATATAGATTGACTAATATATAATACAAAAGCTATTTAGGCATTACTTTGCTATTTTCTTTCTGGTTCTCGTCCTCATCACTGATGGTCGAGTCTGAGTCAGAGTCGAAGGACGGACTATTCATTTTCTGAATTAAGGCTACATCATCAATGAAAGTTGGTATTAAATAAGTTATGTCCTGAAATGATAATAAAATTAATTTAATGACTTAAAAAAAATAAACCAACATATCATATATTATTTATTTTTTTTTTATTATCACACCGGCCGATTCCCACCAAGGCAGGGTGGCCCGAAAAAGAAAAACTTTCACCATCATTCACTCCATCACTGTCTTGCCAGAAGGGTGCTTTACACTACAGTTTTTAAACTGCAACATTAACACCCCTCCTTCAGAGTGCAGGCACTGTACTTCCCATCTCCAGGACTCAAGTCCGGCCTGCCGGTTTCCCTGAATCCCTTCATAAATGTTACTTTGCTCACACTCCAACAGCACGTCAAGTATTAAAAACCATTTGTCTCCATTCACTCCTATCAAACACGCTCACCGCATGCCTGCTGGAAGTCCAAGCCCCTCGCACACAAAACCTCCTTTACCCCCTCCCTCCAACCCTTCCTAGGCCGACCCCTACCCCGCCTTCCTTCCACTACAGACTGATACACTCTTGAAGTCATTCTGTTTCGCTCCATTCTCTCTACATGTCCGAACCACCTCAACAACCCTTCCTCAGCCCTCTGGACAACAGTTTTGGTAATCCCGCACCTCCTCCTAACTTCCAAACTACGAATTCTCTGCATTATATTCACACCACACATTGCCCTCAGACATGACATCTCCACTGCCTCCAGCCTTCTCCTCGCTGCAACATTCATCACCCACGCTTCACACCCATATAAGAGCGTTGGTAAAACTATACTCTCATACATTCCCCTCTTTGCCTCCAAGGACAAAGTTCTTTGTCTCCACAGACTCCTAAGTGCACCACTCACTCTTTTTCCCCTCATCAATTCTATGATTCACCTCATCTTTCATAGACCCATCCGCTGACACGTCCACTCCCAAATATCTGAATACGTTCACCTCCTCCATACTCTCTCCCTCCAATCTGATATTCAATCTTTCATCACCTAATCTTTTTGTTATCCTCATAACCTTACTCTTTCCTGTATTCACCTTTAATTTTCTTCTTTTGCACACCCTACCAAATTCATCCACCAATCTCTGCAACTTCTCTTCAGAATCTCCCAAGAGCACAGTGTCATCAGCAAAGAGCAGCTGTGACAACTCCCACTTTGTGTGTGATTCTTTATCTTTTAACTCCACGCCTCTTGCCAAGACCCTCGCATTTACTTCTCTTACAACCCCATCTATAAATATATTAAACAACCACGGTGACATCACACATCCTTGTCTAAGGCCTACTTTTACTGGGAAAAAATTTCCCTCTTTCCTACATACTCTAACTTGAGCCTCACTATCCTCGTAAAAACTCTTCACTGCTTTCAGTAACCTACCTCCTACACCATACACTTGCAACATCTGCCACATTGCCCCCCTATCCACCCTGTCATACGCCTTTTTCCAAATCCATAAATGCCACAAAGACCTCTTTAGCCTTATCTAAATACTGTTCACTTATATGTTTCACTGTAAACACCTGGTCCACACACCCCCTACCTTTCCTAAAGCCTCCTTGTTCATTTGCTATCCTATTCTCCGTCTTACTCTTAATTCTTTCAATTATAACTCTACCATACACTTTACCAGGTACACTCAACAGACTTATCCCCCTATAATTTTTGCACTCTCTTTTATCCCCTTTGCCTTTATACAAAGGAACTATGCATGCTCTCTGCCAATCCCTAGGTACCTTACCCTCTTCCATACATTTATTAAATAATTGCACCAACCACTCCAAAACTATATCCCCACCTGCTTTTAACATTTCTATCTTTATCCCATCAATCCCGGCTGCCTTACCCCCTTTCATTTTACCTACTGCCTCACGAACTTCCCCCACACTCACAACTGGCTCTTCCTCACTCCTACAAGTTGTTATTCCTCCTTGCCCTATACACGAAATCACAGCTTCCCTATCTTCATCAACATTTAACAATTCCTCAAAATATTCCTTCCATCTTCCCAATACCTCTAACTCTCCATTTAATAACTCTCCTCTCCTATTTTTAACTGACAAATCCATTTGTTCTCTAGGCTTCCTTAACTTGTTATTTTCTCACTCCAAAACTTTTTCTTATTTTCAACAAAATTTGTTGATAACATCTCACCCACTCTCTCATTTGCTCTCTTTTTACATTGCTTCACCACTCTCTTAACTTCTCTCTTTTTCTCCATATACTCTTCCCTCCTTGCATCACTTCTACTTTGTAAAAACTTCTCATATGCTAACTTTTTCTCCCTTACTACTCTCTTTACATCATCATTCCACCAATCGCTCCTCTTCCCTCCTGCACCCACTTTCCTGTAACCACAAACTTCTGCTGAACACTCTAACACTACATTTTTAAACCTACCCCATACCTCTTCGACCCCATTGCCTATGCTCTCATTAGCCCATCTATCCTCCAATAGCTGTTTATATCTTACCCTAACTGCCTCCTCTTTTAGTTTATAAACCTTCACCTCTCTCTTCCCTGATGCTTCTATTCTCCTTGTATCCCATCTACCTTTTACTCTCAGTGTAGCTACAACTAGAAAGTGATCTGATATATCTGTGGCCCCTCTATAAACATGTACATCCTGAAGTCTACTCAACAGTCTTTTATCTACCAATACATAATCCAACAAACTACTGTCATTTCGCCCTACATCATATCGTGTATACTTATTTATCCTCTTTTTCTTAAAATATGTATTACCTATAACTAAACCCCTTTCTATACAAAGTTCAATCAAAGGGCTCCCATTATCATTTACACCTGGCACCCCAAACTTACCTACCACACCCTCTCTAAAAGTTTCTCCTACTTTAGCATTCAAGTCCCCTACCACAATTACTCTCTCACTTGGTTCAAAGGCTCCTATACATTCACTTAACATCTCCCAAAATCTCTCTCTCCTCTGCATTCCTCTCTTCCCAGGTGCATACACGCTTATTATGACCCACTTCTCGCATCCAACCTTTACTTTAATCCACATAATTCTTGAATTTACACATTCATATTCTCTTTTCTCCTTCCATAACTGATCATTTAACATTACTGCTACCCCTTCCTTTGCTCTAACTCTCTCAGATACTCCAGATTTAATCCCATTTATTTCCCCCCACTGAAACTCTCCTACCCCCTTCAGCTTTGTTTCGCTTAGGGCCAGGACATCCAACTTCTTTTCATTCATAACATCAGCAATCATCTGTTTCTTGTCATCCGCACTACATCCACGCACATTTAAGCAACCCAGTTTTATAAAGTTTTTCTTCTTCTCTTTTTTAGTAATTGTATACAGGAGAAGGGGTTACTAGCATACTGATTACAGTGGACCCCCGGCATTCGATGGCATCGGTATACAGTGGACCCCCGCATACCGATTTTAATCTGTGCAAGAGGGCTCATTGGTATGCGAAATAATCGGTATGCGAATGAATTTTCCCCATAAGAAATAATGGAAATCAAATTAATCCGTGCAAGACACCCAAAAGTATGAAAAAAAAATTTTTTACCACATGAAATATACATTTTCCTACACACAAAGAGAAGGATACATGCACAATAGTAGAGTAGTACATGCACAGTATATATTGTGCATGTACTAGTCTACTAAATGAAGAATAAATGACACTTACCTTTATTGAAGATGCAGCAATGACTGATGAGACACTGTGTCCTGGGAGTGCCTTTTCCTCCTGAGTACTGTAGGTCCTGTTTGGTATTTTCTTCCAGAACATGCCTTATCACACTGTGTATGTCACTACGATTCTTAAATCTCTCAAACCAACCTTTGCTGGCTTTAAATTCACCAATATGAGCACTACTTCCAGGCATTTTTCCCTGTTCACCTGGGTGTTAGTCGACTGGTGTGGGTTGCATCCTGGGAGACAAGATTAAGGACCCCAATGGAAATAAGTTAGACAGTCTTCGATGACACTGACTTTTTTGGGTTATCCTGGGTGGCAAATCCTCTGGGGTTAATTGTTTCTTGGTATATTCTCAATAAGCCACACCAACAACAGTGCTACAGCAGCAGCAGACGATGCTACAGCAGCAGCAGCAGCAGCAGCAGCAGCAGCAGCAGACGATGCTACAGCAGCAGCAGCAGCTGACAGTGCTACAGCAGCAGCAGACGATGCTACAGCAGCAGCAGACGATGCTACAGCAGCAGCAGCAGCTGACAGTGCAGCAGCAGCTGACAGTGCAGCAGCAGCAGCTGACAGTGCAGCAGCAGCAGCAGCAGCTGTACCACCAATAGTAGCGATGGTTGATTGGGGTTTATTATACAACCTGGCCAGCTCGGAAACACGCACTCCACTTTCATACTTATCAATGATCTTTTTCTTCATATCTATTGTAATTCTCACCCTTATTGCTGTAGGGTTGGCACTAGAAGCTTTCTTGGGGCCCATGGTCACTTATTTTCCAGATAAAATCACCAAAAACACTGTAATAATACGAAATGTTACGATTGTATGCTTGGATGCTACCGAGGAGGCTGGCTGGTAAACAATGCCACCGGTGGAACATGTGAGGCTGGCTAAGGCGCACATTGGACGCGTCTCGGACGAACAGCGGTGAGCGGGTTTTAGAGCGGTATGCGAGGCAAAATTTTTGAGATTAAAGTGAGCGGTATGCGGAATAAACGGTATGTGATGCCAACGGTATGCGGGAGTCCACTGTATATGTTAAATCCGGTATTCGATACATTTTAACACAAAAATTTTGCCTCGCCACTCATTAAAAAACCCGCCACACGCGATTCGTCCGGGACACGTCCACGTGAGTGCCAGTGTTTACAAGCCAGCCAGTGTGCTCGCATCTAAGCATACATTCCATATTATCAGTGTTTTTGGTGCTTGTTTCTGCAAAATAAGTCACCATGGGCCCCAAGAAAGCTTCTAGTGCCAACCCTGTGGTAAAAAGGGTGAGAATTAGTATGGAAATTAAGAAAGATTTTAAAGGGTTTGGGGCTAACCCTGAGAAGCCTATCCCAGTTGTGGACTCCATTGTGCCTACTTCAAAAATTAAGGAAATGTGTGCAAAGTGGGTTGAACTGCAAACCTTTATGGATGAAAATCACCCTAACACAGCTATTGCAAGCTGTGCTGGTGACTATTACAATGACAATGTTGTGGCCCATTTTAGACAAATCTTAAAGGAACGGGAGGTACAGAGCTCTATTTACAGATTTGTTGTACGACAGAGGTCCAGAGACTCTCAAGCTGGTTCTAGTGGCATTAAAAGAAGAAGAGAAGTAACTCCAGAAAAGGACTTGCTACCTCAAGTCCTAATGGAAGGGGATTCCTTCTAAACATTAACAACTTCGACACTCTCCCCTCCTCCCATCCCATCAATCATCACCAAATCTTCATGAAAGGTAAGTGTCATGTATTCTATTGTTAGTAGAGTACTACTAACTGTGCATGTCTTCTTCAGTTTGTGTACATTAAACTTAATATTTCATGTGGTAAAACTTTTTTTCATAGTACTTTTGGGTGTCTTGCACGGATTAATTTGATTTCCATAATTTCTTATGGGGAAAATTAATTCGCCTTCCGATAATTTTGGCATACGATGAGCTCTCAGGAAAGGATTAATATCGTATACCGGGGGTCCACTGTATACTGTAAAAAAATATAGTGCAGTGAACCCTTGAGTTAACAGACTAATGGGGATGGGTGCGTTTGTTAAAACTGATTAGCCATTAAATCTTAATTACGAGAATATTTTTCCATGATTGCAAAAGAAACGGACAATTCTTGGATTTAATGGACTAAGTCCATCGAACCTAAAAATAAATTTCCCTACCAGACTGCAAGAGTAAGGGATAATTCTAGATTTAATGGACTTTATTCATTAATTATCCATGACAGTAATAGAAAAATCTCATTTAACAGACTTGTGAGTTAAATCAGAAAGAATAACAGACAATTTCAGATTTAATGGACTTTGTTGTTTCTGAATGTTAAGCAGCCACAGGTTTTGTTCGTTAAGTTCAAAATCTATTAAATCTGGGTCTATTAAACTGAGATTTTGCTGTATAAAGGAAGATCAGCAAAAAGTATAAAGACAGCTATTGTTTGTGACTTCTGTTCTCATCATCAGGTCTAAAAAGTAAAAAGAAATAATAATTACACAAACTAAAATTAAAAATATGTACAGTATATGAATATATCAAGCATTTATTTCAAAAAAAGATTGAGAAAATGACAAAAACTAAAACAACAACAATACTGAGCTATAAACACAGTGGCTCACAAGGGCTTTCGCAAGCAGAAATCTATGGCACAAGATGGTAAATATAAAGCGCCTTCACAAACCACGGAACAGGTGGGGTTTGAACTCACAGTGAGAGTGTTGACAAACTTCAGGTCAGTTTGTAAGCCACTCAATCAGCTGACTTATGCACTGGATGGGAGTTTAAAGAATTATTCACCATGGGCTCAAATCCCACCCATTTCATGGTTTGTTTCCAATCATGTTGTTATGATTTCCTGAGCCTTCATAATTCCTGGCACCCTGACTGAAGGTATAAATTGACATAGGGTCATTATATGTATATGAATGTGCTACAATGGTCAAGAAAGTTGACTTCCTAACAATTATTTTTCTTTAAATATTTGCCTAAGTATTCCAATTCAAGCACTGAACTGTTTGGTCAAATTACCAATGTACTGGGATTTACCTCTTATGCAATTACAGTACAGTGATAAACTGAAGACAACAGCACTAACTCAGGTACTGAATCATAAATTGAAACTTTTATAGTAAAATTTTTCACAATACCCATGGTAAGTAGTAATTTATTTCAGTTATTTCTAATAGAACTTTCAATTTTAGTAAATGGCAAAAAATATACAAACTTACTTTTTTTTTATGTCTTACCTTTCCTTCCAATTCATTCTTGTCATAACCAAATAAAAGTCTGGTGAAATTATAATTATAATCAATAATTGTTCCGAAGACGTCCAGTACAATTAGACCACTAATGTTCGAGAAAACCTAAAAAAAAAAAAAAAAATAAAAAAAAAAAAAGAAAGAAAAAGAAAAAGAAATGTTAGATAAAATATAATCCACATTCTCTCAATCTAGAAAGCCTAGGGATTATTTCACAAGTAAAACTAACATCCTCACCTCCTCTGAGATTTTGTTAAACTAGAATTTGTATTGCAACTTATACTAACTCTATCTAAGTACTGCTGACCAATATACAGAAGGGCCCCACTCATACAGAGGGTTAGGTCCTGGGCTAATGCTGTAAAGCAAAAAGTGTTGAAGTAAAATGTAGCCTTCTTTCACTTTCAAATGCATATAAAAGACTGATAACATGTTTACACTATCGTATAAAAGTGAACAATAGAGCTAGGCCTAAAAGATGCATGTACAGTACACTTTTTTTTTTTTCAACAAGTCGGCCGTCTCCCACCGAGGCAGGGTGACCCAAAAAGAAAGAAAATCCCCAAAAAGAAAATACTTTCATCATCATTCAACACTTTCACCTCACTCACACATAATCACTGTTTTTGCAGAGGTGCTCAGAACACAACAGTTTAGAAGCATATACGTATAAAGATACACAACATATCCCTCCAAACTGCCAGTATCCAGAACCCCTCCTTTAGAGTGCAGGCATTGTACTTCCCATTTCCAGGACTCAAGTCCGACTATATAAAAATAACCGGTTTCCCTGAATCTCTTCACTAAATATTACCCTGCTCACACTCCAACAGATCGTCAGGTCCCAAATACCATTCGTCTCCATTCATTCACAGTACACACATTACTTAAAATATTTTCATCCTTAGCTTATAGTGAGTAGTGAATAGATTTATTGTAGGAAGTTTGAATAAATAAAGAATGGGTATAATTGAAAACTGCTGCATTAGCAAAATGCTGTAAAGTGGGGCCTGCCTGTATATTAAAAAGCAACATATACCATTTACACAATTCAATCCACATTTCCCTGACATACCTTCTTAAACATGCTTTGGCTTTTAATTCTCTTAATATCTTTTCTTTAATATTCTAATGTATATTAACATTGAATATTAGCCCAATTCAGCAAACTACTTCTATCCTTCTCATTCTCATCCTTTTACCTTTGTTCCACCCTATGCCAAGACACTGTTTCCTACCATAATTATCTTTTTATCTGTGTTGTGCTGACACAAAAAAATGAACACAGTTAAACTTTATTGCTAAAATTCCAGATAATGATTATTCTGTCCTTACACTTGGCATTTTAGTCACCTTCTGAAACATACAGACATTCAGCAGTTGTAAGCAGTATGTTAAACATATACAAATTAAAATTAGCCTATTATCTCATCATTTCAGAGAACAAATCATAAGCCTCTCACAATGTTATATATTAAGAAAGATTCAGTTTAATAATTTCATAAGATGATAGCATTTTTTTTTTTTGGCCTCATCAGCCATCTCCCACCAAGACAGAGTGATCCAAAAATTAACAAAAAACGCATTCACCATCAATCATTCAATCGCTGTCATGTAAAAAACTACAGAGAAAACATCTTACCCAAATTTCCAGGTCATAAACAGTTTTCTTGCCAATTTCAGCCTTAGTATTAGGAGACGAGAAGTGTGCACATAAAGGAAATGTTGCACAATCAATTGTATGTCCAGTACACTGCTGCTTCTCAATATCCTGGGAATCAAAACAAAGATAAATTAAAAACATTTAACTTCCTGGCAATTGTTAAAAATCCTTACTTATCTAGGAGGCTAAATTAACCAGGCTACACATAATCAGGTATTATCTATTTCCTAAATACTACAGAAATCCTAAGCATCAATTAACTAACGTTAGTCTGTTATTGTTTTGGGGGATTAATCTGTTAAATTCTGTCCTCAGTCAACTGATAACAACAAAAAAAATCATCACATTTAACAAATGCAGCCTTATGGGAATTTTTCTATGAAATGCAGTATTTTGTTGTAGTAAAAATACAGTATATAAATAAATAGAAAGAATTAAAGGCAATGAAAATAAATGGTGCTTAACTAATTCAGTTAATGACAGTTTAATATCCAATGTCAGTGGATATTTCTAAAAGCAATCTGTTAAAAAATATGTAAAGATGTGAAAGAAAGCTCAACGACACTGATTATGAGTATAGGAAGTCTGAATCACAGCTGATTTATTTAAAAACTTAATAGCATGGACATCAAATTACATAAGACAAAACTGGCTACATCAAAATTTGAACAAAACTGTATTTAATATACCTTTGGTATTTCCCATGGACAATTAGGCACCTTTAGAGCTGGAATGAGTTCATGAATTCTAAGTCTGGTGAGTTCGCTATTGTCTGCATACCCAAATAACGCATTAAAGGAAGAATCGTGCTTAAGAATTTGACCAATCTGATCTATTGAAGCCTGAAAAGTAAATGATTATCATCAGGAAAGTCTAAACACTGCTAAATTAAAATCATAAATACTTGTTTTGTATTTACAGTATTTCTCAAACTATTTGCTAGCATCACAATAAATAAGCAAATATTTGAATAATTTTCTCTTTATCTAAGATATGCCTCTAAGTATACCAGGAAAAGTATACGGTAGAGTTATAATTGAAAGAATTAGAGGTAAGACAGAATGTAGAATTGCGGATGAGCAAGGAGGCTTCAGAGTGGGTAGGGGATGTGTAGATCAAGTGTTTACATTGAAGCATATATGTGAACAGTATTTAGATAAAGGTAGGGAAGCTTTTATTGAAATTTATGGATTTAGAAAAGGCATACGATAGAGTGGATAGAGGAGCAATGTGGCAGATGTTGCAAGTTTATGGAATAGGTGGTAAGTTACTAAATGCTGTAAAGAGCTTTTATGAGGATAGCGAGGCTCAGGTTAGGGTGTGTAGAAGAGAGGGAGAATACTTCCCGGTAAAAGTAGGTCTTAGACAGGGATGTGTAATGTCACCATGGTTGTTTAATATATTTATAGATGGGGTTGTAAAAGAAGTAAATGCTAGGGTGTTCGGGAGAGGGGTGGGATTAAATTATGGGGAATCAAATTCAAAATGGGAATTGACACAGTTACTTTTTGCTGATGATACTGTGCTTATGGGAGATTCTAAAGAAAAATTGCAAAGGTTAGTGGATGAGTTTGAGAATGTGTGTAAGGGTAGAAAGTTGAAAGTGAACATAGAAAAGAGTAAGGTGATGAGGGTATCAAATGATTTAGATAAAGAAAAATTGGATATCAAATTGGGGAGGAGGAGTATGGAAGAAGTGAATGTTTTCAGATACTTCGGAGTTGACGTGTCGGCGGATGGATTTATGAAGGATGAGGTTAATCATAGAATTGATGAGGGAAAAAAGGTGAGTGGTGCGTTGAGGTATATGTGGAGTCAAAAAACGTTATCTATGGAGGCAAAGAAGGGAATGTATGAAAGTATAGTAGTACCAACACTCTTATATGGATGTGAAGCTTTGGTGGTAAATGCAGCAGCGAGGAGACGGTTGGAGGCAGTGGAGATGTCCTGTCCTAAGGGCAATGTGTGGTGTAAATATTATGCAGAAAATTCGGAGTGTGGAAATTAGGAGAAGGTGTGGAGTTAATAAAAGCATTAGTCAGAGGGCAGAAGAGGGGTTGTTGAGGTGGTTTGGTCATTTAGAGAGAATGGATGAAAGTAGAATGACATGGAAAGCATATAAATCTATAGGGGAAGGAAAGAGGGGTAGGGGTCGTCCTCGAAAGGGTTGGAAAGAGGGGGTAAAGGAGGTTTTGTGGGCTAGGGGCTTGGACTTCCAGCAAGCGTGCATGAGCGTGTTAGATAGGAGTGAATGGAGATGAATGATACTTGGGACCTGACGATCTGTTGGAGTGTGAGCAGGGTAATATTTAGTGAAGGGATTCAGGGAAACCGGTTATTTTTCTTATAGTCGGACTTGAGTCCTGGAAATGGGAAGTACAATGCCTGCACTTTAAAGGAGGGGTTTGGGATATTGGCAGTTTGGAGGGATATGTTGTGTATCTTTATACGTATATGCTTCTAAACTGTTGTATTCTGAGCACCTCTGCAAAAGCAGTGATAATGTGTGAGTGTGGTGAAAGTGTTGAATGATGATGAAAGTATTTTCTTTTTGGGGATTTTCTTTCTTTTTTGGGTCACCCTGCCTCGGTGGGAGACGACCAACTTGTTGAAAAAAAAAAAAAAAAAAAAATGCCTCTAAGTCTTCTCATAATATCAATTTTTTCTGCACATATATCATCTGTCCCCTATCAATTCTTCTAAGCATATTGTACATAGTATTCATGTCTTCCCTAGTATTCCTCTTTCAAGTCATCAGATTCAGTTCCTTTATCTGTCCTCAGCTCTAGGACTAGTCTGGCTATAAACCTTAGATACTTTTTCAAGTTTCTCAACCTGTTTCAGAATGTTAATACACACTAAATAAATGAAAACCAGTCGATAACTTTTTTTTTCAACACATCGGCTGTCTCCCACAAAGGCAGGGTGACCAAAAAAGAAAAGAAACACTTTCACCATCATTCGCACATAATCAGTCTTTGCAGAGGTGCCCAGATATGACAGTTTAGATGTCACTCCAAACAGCCAACATCCCAAAACACCCTCCTTTAACCACTTGACTGTTGCAACCCCAAATCCTGAGGTGTCTCCTGGTGTCGCAAAATTTAAAAAAAAAAAAAAAAAAAAAAAAAATTCTTATAAAATGATAGAGAATCTTTTCCTGATTGTAATAACACCAAAAGAACGAAATTTGATGGAAAACTGAAGGAATTACGCTCTTGCAAAGTTAGCGACCTCAGCGATAGTTACGAATCAGTGATTTTGCCCACTTTGAGCCTTATTTTCGGCTAATTCCATTGTTCCGGTCGACCAAACTCATAGCTATTTCTTTAGAACTCCATTTTTTCTATCGATTGAGTACAAGAAACTGCCCATTTACTGATTTCAACTACAGAATAATAATGAGGTCAGAAATTTGCAATTTGGCCAATTTCACGAAAATTAAAAAACATGACAATTTCAAAATAGGGTCCAGAATGAACAATGCAGACATTCCTGGCTGTAAAATCACATTTTCTTTGTTCATCAGTCATGTCTCCAGGCCCCTCTGATATTACTCTTGCTGTCTATTTTAAATTTTTATTCAAACAAAAAATAGAAGATTTACTGTTATGCAGACTACTGCAATATTGTAATAATTGTATAAATAACATCAACCCATTCAAGACCACATATTGGAATGGCTAGTTGGACATTTATTGAAAAATGACATCATTTGTTTACTTTTGAACATCGGCAAAAATCAAACATTTCCTCTACTTTGAGCTCCATTTCAAGGTTCTTTTCATAGTATAAACCCAATCAAAATCACCTCTATTTCTATAATATGTTTTCCATTCTATCAAATGAGACCAAGAAAACAAGAATACAACCATAAATACTATACGAAAATAGACCAGAAATTCGGCATTTTAATTAAAAAAAAAAAAAAAAAAAAAAAAAAAAAACACGGTCGGAGTTTTTTTTTTCTCATTATGCACTGGGTGCTGCAGGATTTTGTTTATATGGTGCACACTGACCACACAGACCCATTCTCTCACATGTGGGACTACCAGCTTTCTCCTGCTTGATTTGAAGCCGCTAGAATTTACGAGTATATATACGTCAAAAACAGTGGCTCGTAAGACGTATATATACGACCAAAACAGTCAAAGGGTTAAACTGCAGGAATTGTACTTCCCACCTCCAGGACTCAAGTCCAGATAACTGGTTTCCCTGAATCCCTTCACAAAAAATTACTCTGCTCAGGCTCCAAGAGCTCATTGAAGTCCCAAAAACCATTCATCCACACTCACTCCTGTCTAACACGCACACACATGCCTGCTGTATGTCCAAGCCCTTTGCACACAAAACCTTTTTACTCCTTCCCTCCATCCTACCCCTCCATCTTACCCCTACCCTTCCACTACAGATTTATACACACTCCAAGTCGTTTTATTTTGCTCCAACCTCTATAAATAACCAAACCACATAAATAACCCCTCTTCAGCCCTCTGAATAATACTTTTTTGTAACTCCACACCTCCTCCTAATTTCCACACTGCGAATTCTCTGAACAATATTTACACCACACATTGCTCTTAGACACGACATTTCCACCACCTCCAGCCTCCTCTTCGCTGCAACATTCACAACCCGTGCTTCACACCCATATAAGAGTGCTGGTACCACTATCCTCTTGTACAATACCTTCTTTGCCTCCATGAATAAAATTTTTTGTCTCCACATATACCTCAATGCACCACTCACCTTTTTTCCTTCAACAATTCTATGGTTAACCTAGTCCTTCATAAACCCATCAGTTGACAAATCTACTCCCAAATATCTGAGCACATTCACTTCTTCCATACTCCCTCCCTCCAATGTGATATCTAATTGTTCTTTACCTAACTTGTTTGATACCCTTGTCACCTTACTCTTATCTATGATCACTTTCAACTTTCTTTCTTTACACACCCTCAGTAAATTTATTCCCCTATAATTTTTACATTCTCTTTTGTTTCCCTTACCTTTATACTAAGCAACTATACATGCTCTCTGCCAATCCCTAGGTACCTTCCCTTCTTTCATACACTTGAGGCTTGAGCACTGTGCTAATTTTTTTTTAATTTTTTTTATATTAACTTTAATGCTTTTGTTGCATTTTTCTTCGATAATAACTACACTCGAAGTTCCTCAATAATGTTTCTGCATTTTGCCAATATATAAAATTAATTTTCCTATTTGCTGATATGTCTTTTGCATTTGTCAGCTTTACACTACTACTTACACCTCTCTTCTACCTTCTTGTCTTAGCCACCAACTTGATCTTCAACCTTGATTTGGACAACCCACAACATAGTAATCTGAACTGAGAAGCTTTTCTTGTAATGTCACTGCATGAACTGCTTTCTTCCTCATATCCTATTACTGCACTACCGTATAAATACTACATTTATTTCTGGTAATTAAGCTACTGCATAGGAAATGTCTCCTAAATCCAAATTAGTATACAAAATTCCACAAGAATATCAACATTTGGATTTATTACTCACAATTCTCGCTAATGAACTACAATATTTGCCAATTTTATCATCTACTCATCATGCATGCCCTCAAACATACTGTTCTTGTTCAACTTCATAAAAAGTTCTTAATTCTGTACTTAATGCATCCCACTACCACCTATTTAACAATCCATGAGATAATAGCATATTACTACCAAAAATATATTTATAAAACTATACCAATCTGCTTTTTCATTACAGTGACTGTCAGAGAACATATACTTAGTCATATATAACTTACTTTAGCTACTGTTATATCCACTGGCTCCAAAACTGCTATCCACCTCTGATCTTCGTCTTCATCTTTTGGAAGACCCTTCAGCCACAGTGAGCAGGGAAGAGAACCATTGTCGAAGGTGTCAACACTAACCTTTAGGGATCAACAGAATTTAAATCAAAATACTTTACAGTATATCTTAACTATTTCTGCTCATGAATACAAATTTTCTTGATATGGAAGATACACAAAATTGGTTTTAAAGCCAATAACTGGATACCATTCTAGATCACATTATACATAAGACAACTTCAACATTAAAAATTCTTTAGTAAGATCAAGAACGGGCAAACATGATTTTTTTTCCAACAAGTCGGCCATCTCCCACCGAGGCAGGGTGACCCAAAAGGAAAGAAAATCCCCAAAAAGAAAATACTTTCATCAACATTCAACACTTTCACCTCACTCATACATAATCACTGTTTTTGCAGAGTCACCCGGTTACAACAGTTTAAAAGCATATATAAAGATATATAACATATCCCTCCAAACTGTCAATATCCCAAACCCGTTCTTTAAAGTGCAGGCATTGTACTTCCCATTCCCAGTACTCAAGTCCAGTTATATAAAAATAACTGGTTTTCCTGAATCCCTTCACTAAATATTACCCTGCTAACACTCCAACAGATTGTCAGGTCCCAAAAACCATTCGCTTCCATTCACTCCTATTTAACACGCTTACGCATGTTTGCTGGAAGTCCAAGCCCCTCGCCCACAAAACCTCCTTTACCCTCACCTTCCAACCTTTTCGAGGACGACCCCTACCCCGCCTTCCTTCCCCTACAGATTTATATGCTCTCCATGTCATTCTCCTTTGATCCATTCTCTCTAAATGAACAAACCACCTCAACAACCCCTCTTCAGCCCTCTGACTAATATTTTTATTAACTCCACGCCTCCTAATTTCCACACTCCGAATTTTCTGCATAATATTTACACCACACATTGCCCTTGGACAGGACATCTCCACTGCTTCCAACCGCCTCCTCGCTGCAGCATTTACAACCCATGTTTCACACCCATATAAGTGTGTTGGTACCACTATACTGTACTTTCATATATTCCCTTCTTTGCCTCCATAGATAATGTTTTTTGTCCCCACTTATACCTCAACGCACCACTCACCTTTTTTCCTTCATCAATTTTATGATTAAACTCATCCTTCATAACCCCATTCGCTGACATGTCAACACCCAAATATCTGGAATCATTCAATTCTTCCATACTCCCACTCTCCAATGTGATATCCAATTTTTCTTTATCTAAATCATTTGATACCCTCATCACCTTACTCTTATCTATGTTCACTTTCAACCTTCTACCTTTACACACCTTCCGAAACTCGTCCACTAACCTTTGCAACTTATCTTTAGAATCTCCCATAAGCACAGTATCATCAGCAAAAAGTAACTGTGTCAACTCCCATTTTGTATTTGATTCCCCATAATTTTATCCCACCCTTCTCCCCAACACCCTAGCATTTACTTCTTTTACAACCCCATCTATAAACGTATTAAACAACAATGCTGACATTACACATCCTTGTCTAAGGCCCACTTTTACCGGGAAGTAATCTTCATCTCTTCTATACACCTTAACCTGAGTCTCAGTATCCTCAGCATTTAGTAACTTACTACCTATTCCATATACTTGCAACATCTACCACATTGCTCCCCTATCCACTCTATCATATGCCTTTTCTAAATACATAAATGCAATGAAAAATTACCTACCTTTATTTAAATACTGTTCACATATATGATTCAATGTAAACACTACACATCCCCTACCCACTCTAAAGCCTCCTTGCTCATCCAAAATCCTACTCTCTGTCTTACCTCTAATTCTTTCAATAATAACCCTACTGTACACTTTTCCTGGTATAGTCAGTAAACTTATTCTCCTATAATTTTTACAATCTTTTTTGTCCCCCTTCCCTTGTATAAAGGAACTATACAAGCTCTCTGCCAATCCCTAGGTACCTTCCCTTCTTTCATACATTTATTAAACAAAAATACATGTACCAACCACTCCAACACTATATCCTCTCCTGCTTTTATTTTTCATGATCCAGTCAGTTGCAGCTGCTTTACCCCCTTCCATTCTACATAATGCCTCACGCACCTCCCCCACACTCACATTCTGCTCTTCTTCACTCCTAAAAGATGTTATACCTCCCTGACCAGTGCATGAAATTACCGCCTCCCTTTGTTCAACAACATTTAAAAGTTTCTCAAAATATTCCCGCCATCTACCCAATACCTCCAGCTCCCCATCTACTAACTCCCCTACTCTGTTTTTAACTGACAAATCCATTCGTTCCCTAGGTTTTCTTAATTTGTTTATCTCATTTCTCTCATTTATCAATTAACATGGTATGCAAAAATTTTAAATTTACATAAAAGCTAAATTAGCAACCAAACCTAACATTACTAAAATTAAAGAAATACTGTATAACAATCCTATCCAACTGGCATGTCATTAATTGTACGAGAATAGCTTACACACTGACAATGAATGTATGATGATTTCCCACCAACAATGAAATCAGCTGGTGTTCCAGATAAGCACACTAGGCAAAACTTCCCTTCACACAACCAATGAAATAAGCATATCACTCATCATCCGTCAGCCTGAAAAATATATATTTTTCCCAACAGCGTGAGGTCTTTCCTTTATCGAAGCAGATAGCTGATCGCTAAAACTACTCAAATATCCTGCACATAGGAGAAAGAAACTTACGACGACATTTCGGTCCAACTTTAACCATTAACTAGTTAACAGTCAAAATTGGAATGAAACTTCATCAAAAGTGTCTTTCTTCTATGTATGGATTATCTGTGCATTTCTCGTCATAATAGTGTGCCTTTTTATTCTTTAGCTTATTGTTAATTAGAGCCTTTGCATACAAGGAAACACAGGAGATAACTGGGTTCAGAATTTACTACTGGCATAATAGATTTACAGCAGGTTACTATTTCTAATGGTTTATGAAGTCTTTCACAGAAAATAGTTCTTTAAACTGTACTTCAAGACACTGCAGCTTAATGTCAGCCAAAATTTAGTTATTTATTAGCAACAATGAATTTATGTTCAATTTGTTTAGCACAGCACTTCTTGCTGAATAAGCCAAGTCAGCACATTTGGCTTTAAAAGCATGATATATACAGTATAATGAGACACACACAGCTCTTCTGGTACCTTACAGAGGAACAACAAACAGTTCATTCCAAAAATTAAAAACTGGAAAAAACAATAAAGAACAGTTAAATAGTAGGGGTTAGAAATCCAAGAAAAAAAATAATATACCTTAAGCAGATAAGAGTAAGTGAGAGGCAAATTTATAAGAATTTGGGGAAAAAAATATGTGATACAATATTAATGAAATAAGCTAAAATACAAAATGATTGCCTCCTATTTCTTAGGAGCTGAATGAACCCTATTAGTTTAGTGCTCCCTTGGGAACATAATAATAATAATAATAATAATAATAATAATAAAAATAATAATAATAAAAATTTAGGTAGTAGGTTGGTAGACAGCAACCACCAAGGGAGGTACTACTGTCCTGCCAAGTGAGTGTAAATTGAAAGCCTGCAATTGTTTTACATGATGATAAGATTGCTGGTGTCTTTTTTCTGTCTGATAAACATGCAAGATTTCAGGTACATCTTGCTACTTCTACTTATAATTAGGTCACATTTTTTAACGCAAAATTTTTGCCTCGGCTAGCGCTAAAAAACTCGCTCAATGCGATTCGTTCGAGACGCATCCACGTGCGGCCTGAGCCCGCCTCACTTGTTCTGTGGGTGCCAGTGTTTACAAGCCAGCCACTGCAGTCGCTTCCAAGCATACAATCGGAACATTTCATATTTTCACAGCCTTTTTAGTGATTGCACCTGCAAAATAAGTCACCATGGGCCCCAAGAAAGCTTCTAGTGCCAACCCTACAGCAAAAAGAGTGAGAATTACTATGGATATGAAGAAACAGATCATTGCTAAGTATGAAAGTGGAGTGCGTATCTCCGAGCTGGCCAGGTTGTACACAAAACCCCAATCAACCATCGCTACTATTGTGGCCAAGAAAACGGCAATCAAGGAAGCTGTTCTTGCCAAAGGTGCAACTTTGTTTTCGAAACAGAGATCGCAAGTGATAGAAGATGTTGAGAGACTGTTATTGGTGTGGATAAACAAAAAACAGATAGCAGAAGATAGCATCTCTCAAGCGATCATATGTGAAAAGGCTAGGAAGTTGCATGACGATTTAATTAGAAAAATGCCTGCAAATAGTGGTGATGTGAGTGAATTTAAGGCCAGCAAAGGTTAGTTTGAAAGATTTAAGAATCATAGTGGCATACATAGTGTGATAAGGCAAGGTGAGGCTGCCAGTTCGGACCATAAAGCGGCTGAAAAATATGTGCAGGAATTCAAGGAGTACATAGACAGTGAAGGACTGAAACCTGAACAAGTGTTTAATTGTGACGAAACAGGCCTGTTTTGGAAGAAAATGCCAAGCAGGACCTACATTACTCAGGAGGAAAAGGCACTCCCAGGACATAAGCCTATGAAAGACAGGCTTACTCTGTTGATGTGTGCTAATGCTAGTGGTGACTGCAAAGTGAAGCCTTTATTGGTGTATCACTCTGAAACTCCCAGTGTTCAGGAAAAACAATATCCTCAAGGCTAATTTGTGTGTGCTGTGGAGGGCAAACAGTAAGGCATGGGTCACTAGGGACTTTTTCTATGACTGGTTACATCATGCATTTGCCCCCACTGTGAAAAATTACCTCCTGGAAAATAAACTGGACCTTAAGTGCCTCCTGGTATTAGACAATGCTCCTGGTCATCCTTCACACGTGGCAGAGCGAATTTCTGCGAAAATGAGCTTCATTAAGGTCAAGTTTTTGCCTCCTAATACCACTCCTCTCCTGCAGCCCATGGACCAGCAGGTCATTTCCAGCTTCAAGAAACTGTACACAAAAGCTATGTTTGAAAGGTGCTTTGTAGTGACCTCAGAAACTCAATTAACTCTAAGAGAGTTTTGGAGAGATCACTTTAGCATCCTCAATTGTGTAAACATTATAGGTAAGGCT